TTACAGTCAGACATACATATATATATATAAAAAATAATTTGATTCATATTATTATTCTAATGCTTCTGAGCTGATACATAATCTGAAAATTGTCACTGATCCAGGGAGATAAATCTCCCCAACACAACAGTCCACATTAATGATTTAATAGATTTAATGATGTTTTAAAAACATATACATATTTTAAACACTTAAGCATCGATTATATTGTATTGAATTTGGGTTTTAAAATAACGAAAAATGTATGAGAATGTATTATGTTATAAATAATAATTAACCATACATTTTAATTAATAATTATTAATTTCATAAGATTTTAAACTAAGCCTATAAAATAAAAATGTTTTTCACGGTTATTTTAAAGAAAAAATGCCAAGAAAAAAATATTATAATGTTGTATATGTTGTAATAAAATATTATTTTATATTAGTTGTAACTCATTGAATCCAAGTACAGAAAACAAAATACAAAATAATTGTTGTTTCTTATATGGTTAGTGTTTTATTTCAAACAATATTTATTTCTGTATGTTATATAGCAATAAAAGTGTAAATGTATGATTTACAATTTCAAAAGAATAAATAATTTGAAAAGTACATTCGTCATCATGTAACGTACTAACTTATTATAATTTTATGTAATATTTGTAGACATCTAATCATAAACTGGTTGACATAAAGTTTACTTCAAACGTAAACCTAAAGTTTTAAAAACATATTTTTGTTTTGGTTTTATTATGTTACACCACGTAGACTATTGAAATACGTACAAAGTTATACTATATATTGAACTACAAGTTATGTAAGGTACATATAGACTATAAATACATATTGTTCTGTTATAAAAATATTAAAACATTTGCTAAAATAACAATAAAAATATAATGAATACGTTTTTAAAAATTATCATTAAAATATCATTTTAATACATTTTTTCTAGCAATATTTGTTATAGTTACGGTTGATAAGTAATAACTAATGAAGATACATTTTATTTATTACCCGAGGGGAAATATTTAAATTCAAAATATACTCATTATAATTTACCAATGAGTAAATTAAGTACACACTATTGATCTGTGCGGCGTGTATATTTTTTAAATAACAGTTTATCAAAAAAATATTTTATAATAAATAATTTGATAAATATATTATCAAAACATTTTAGTTATTTAAGTTATCTTATATTATATTTTATGCACTTGAGGATATCTTTATTGGTTGTGATAACTTTAAAAACTTTAAGTATACATTCGCCCGAAAGCATAATAATTAAAGAAAACCGGAAAAGAGTTGAAAGCAATTCGTATTAATACATAATAGCAAAATAACAATATAAATTCTTTCGGTAGTTGAATACTTGTGTATAATTATAATAAACATGGTAGGTAATGGCAATAGGGTACCTAACCTAATCGGTGTACCAGAATGTAAACCCGATGAACTAGGTCATTAAAACCTGGTTACACATTACGCGTTTTATACGCAAGCGTACGGTTTCGCGATAACGTGTATGCATACCATACAGTTTTATTTTTTGGTCGTTTAAAAGCTGCGTTTTTAAAACGCATACACTAGCGTCCAAAACGCGCAGTGATTCAAAATCATAAAATATTTAAAATAAAAGCCCAACGTTTTGGTCGATGCACAAAATGGGACGAGTGAACAAATGATGCATACTGCAACTCACCCATATGGAAAAATTATACGCATAAACGCATACATGCACTTGTATAATGATCAGCTCTCGTTTCGCCGCCGTATCATTTCGCCAAATTAATTTTTTTGCCGTTCCGTTTCGCCGGATTTATTTTTTGAATAACTTAGTTCACCAATTACATACCAATTAATGAAATTTATCACATTTCAAATCACGGATTCACAACCGTGTTTCAAAACAAAAATAATTTAAGAATTATACGGCGAAATGGCACAACGTCGAAATGAAACGCTACGGGATACGACCTGTATAATACATATTTACAGATCGAACCGTTAGTGGTAACGACTTATTACGGGAAATCGAAGGAATTCAAAGAGTTCTCGTTGGTTTCCGAGTCATTCGCGTTACGGTCAAACGGGTTAGTTTCGTATCTTTTACGATTTGACAAATGACATTAAGACACGTCGGTTGCTATTTTGTTCCGGCGTTACGCAAACGGTATCGTATCCAACACGACGTCCCGCGGCTATTGTAACGTGCACGTATCGCTGTGCGTACATCGGTCAGCCGTAGCGGGACAATAATACAAGGACTGGGCTTTCGCGTGCCGGAGAGAGAGAGAGAGAGAGAGAGAGTGAGATGATGTGCACATGGTGTGCATCAGATTTCCGGGGAACGCCGCAGCGATCGTTGCGAGACGGGTGTGCGACGGGCGGTTTACCGGGACGGGAAATCTCGCGACCTGGGAAACGGCTGCGCGACGACGACGACGTCGGCAGCGATACGAGCGGCGGACTCGCGGTACGTCGTCGACGGGTGGCTCTGGGTTTCCCGGGCGCGCCGACGCCGACTCGGCCACCGCCGCCGAGGCCGTCCCGACCGTCGCATGGGCTCCTGATAGCGGGTTTAAGGAAATTGCGGAAAACGCATGAAAACGGCGATTCCAGTTTCCCGAAAACCGTGGCAACAACGGTAACCGGGTGGTGGGAATCGGACGGTTCGCCCCGCCGCCGTGCCGCGACGGCCGCGGTATCGACTCGTGATTGTTATTGTATTGCTCGTGCCGGCGAACGGGCAAGCGCGCGTCGGCTCGCCGTCGCCCGCCGTTGGCTGATACCCTGGTACAATCGCTCGCATTTCTTCAGCCAAGTGTGACCCGCCGAGTCGGCCGGAATACGCGGCGGTGCGCGTTTTCCGTCACCCACACGCGCTCGAGCCGCGCCGCCGCTGCCACCGCCGGCGAGGCGTCTGCCGTTCGCGTGCGTTTGATACCTCGAAAAAGACACGGAATAATTACGCCACGGCGTAACAATGATAAATAATAAATCCATTGTGTGCGCGCGTGTATTATTATCATTATTATTTATTATTGTCGTCGTCGCGAAACGATTTGTTAACCTACCCGCCAGCCGTGCACACACGTACGCGGGGCCGACGCGACACGACAATTTCGAACCGTAATTAAGATTCACAGATTAACAGATGTTATAATATAATCATTATTTGTATACGACAACCATGGGACACAACCGAAATTAACGAACTAGAACATGATTTTTCCTGGACGTCGGCCAAATGCGTAATGCTGTACAGACATTTCGAACGTAAAAAAAAAAAAAAGAATGAAAACATCCAAACCATTAGTTTGGAGTACGAGAAAAAAACCTTGAAGACTTATAACTGTCGAAACCATCGAATCATGGACGTGAAATCTAAGTGTGTCAAATGATAGGTTCGAGCGAAAATCTGAAAATCCGTTTATTTTTTACTATTTTAAGAACCTGATATGATATTCAATTTGCAGTTTTTGTATTTTTAAGCGTGTATCAACAAAAAAAGTAAACCACCGGACAGATACCATCCCATGAATAAATCTTATATATTTCTCATAACACCAAATTGTCACTTATTACACACTTTTCATTACATTTCATATTACATGCAGATGTCGAGCATGATCATCCAAGACATACGAGTACTGCAATACAATATACAGCATAAATAGTGCATAGGTTATGTTCACCGATAAGTGACAAACAATTTATCGCAGTATTGATAATTCCTCTAAATTATTATAAATTGATAATTCCTCTAAATTATTATAAATTTATTATTCGTGCTTCATAATCACATATTTTAATAAAAATCAAAATAAGAAAATATTCAAGTACACATGTAGCGATCGGTAAAAATGTATTTCTAAATGAACGGAAAAAAAGAAATCACTGAATATTGTATTTTGTTTCGTAACCCTTTCGTTCAACAATTTTATCAAGCGCGAACAACAAATAAGTGTAAACGTATTTTTTTTTTCTTTTTAACAAATGGATAACAAATTAACGCGTTAAACTTGAAGCTTTTATACACCGGACACTGCACGAAATGCCATCTCAATGCAATATCCGAAGGAAAACCGTCGGTTTACATCGCGTGTGAGGTACTAGGAAATCGAAGTAATAAATGTTTTTTTTTTTCGTCTTTTGTGCACGTTTTTTTTTTTTATTTATTATTCTGGGCGTCTAACGTTTTTATTAAAATAATTACTATAGCGGTATAAAACAATACGGATACGAGCGTCGTATTGCGCCCCCGGGTACACGAACATTATCGCACGTGGTCCTACCGCCGGCGGGTCGAACAGCGAATTATTACGGGACGTGTTAAAAAACATCAAACTCGCACGCGCGCGTCAACCGACAACCAATACAATACCGACTCGTCACGTGTCACGTGTCCGTTGTTACTGTTTGTAAACACAACAATACGTATACATTGTTCGTACGGCGTATACAATGACATAAGAACGCGCGTACACGATGATACTATTATTATTATTATTATTGTTATCATTATTATTGTTACGACATTGCGTCATTGTGCGGTTCGAACAACGCGGTACGAGGTTGCCGTCTGCCGTTGGCCTTGACATCGGCGCTGCGGTTAGTTCGCGCGAGACGGTGCAACGCCGCTGCTCGGTAACGGTACAACCGCCGCCGCCGCCGCCGACGACCGACCGGCTGAGCTCCTGGTACACGGTGATCTCATTGGAGGTGAATATGGCTGCGATAAAGGGCAGACGAGCACGCGCGCGCGGATAAGCCACTCGGCCCCGGCGGACCGTATCGCCGCCGTCGCCACCGTTCGGAATTTTTTCCGTCCGACCGAATTTCCGGTCGGGAAACGGCATCGAATTCACCAGTCAGTGCAACCAGTTGGAGTTGGCCCGCCGCACACGGTTGTACGAACGCAATTATAATAATATTAATCCGTACTGGAAGTTATTTAATAATAACTTAATATTTAATGTATAATAAATAAAACAGTAATACAGTAATAAGTAATACATAATAAATAATATTTAAAAATGTATTACACTTCGAATAATACGTCAGTGTATTGTATTTTTCGTATACATCGAGGCATAATTATTGTTGTTATTTATTATACACACACTTACGCACTTATAAGATTATACTAATGTTATTGTTGTTGTCATTATCGTTGTGTACTCCACCGGCGACTTATGCCCCCTTCCCTTTAAACCCACTGGTTGCCGCGGTTACGGTTTGTTGTCATCTTCAACACGGCGTCGTCGACATCACCGCCGCGAAACCGTAGACCGCGAGACTCGTCAACGCAAATATTAATTTTTCTTTTGTAGCCATAAGTGTTATTTATATTTTTTTTCACCACCACCCCCCTCACCACTAACAACTTTCGTGAAAATAAAAACAAGATAGGTAAGCGGCGGACAAAAAAATCATCATGTTTTGACGGCCCGTGGTTATGGGCAACGTATTGCGGTTTAAATGTGTCGACTGTGCGAACGCAGACCAACTACAACGCAGGTAACGATATTGTATAATGATAAGGCGTTTCATTGATTAGGAATTTAGGATTCGCGGTATGTGTGCTTAAATTTAATGTGCTTTAATTGTTTTTTTTTTTTACATATTAAAATGGTAAATTTAAATGTCACGAATTAAATATTTAAACCGAAGCACCTCGACCGGCTGATTTAAAAATAAACGACTCGTCCAATTGGACGCGAATAACATTTGATTTGAAAATGGTTGACAACTAAAATAATACAGCAAATTAAACTGCACGAAAGTGTTTATTTTGCTTGAGCCAGTACTGCATAACTTTGAATCAGACGTTTGGTGATGTGCTTTGAGCTTACAAGAAGGGAAAAGAGGTCTTTAGCAAAAGAAAAAAAATCCACCACCAAACCGGAGTTAATGGACGGTGGTCATTTGTGCTAATACTAATTTTTATTGTTACGAATTTATTTAGTACGTTTAGTACACTAATAATATAAATAATACAATAGTAAAATAAATAATTAATTGCCTTATATCGTTTTATAAAATAAAATTATAGAAATGCTAAAGAAAAATGTTGTTTCGTTTATACATTTCAAATTAAATAACATTGAATACTAGAATTTGTATTAAAAATACGAGAAAATGTAATTTAAAAACATGTTCAATTTTGCATTTTTGTTAATTAATTTTAAAGTGTACCTACTATTGAATTTAAAAACTAGTAGAATTTTAAAATGTTTTCCTTGCGGTTCTGGTGTTATTTACAAATTAAGTATGATAAAAATGCTTGAACATATATAGTTACAAAAGTACAAAAAATCCGATGTCCAAATATTTTGGATTTAGTGAACTGTAGTCTTATGGATAATTTTGAGGGTCTTAAAACTAGAAATAATAAATATTTTAACCCTCATAATTATTCGTCCGTTAACAAAGTATTAACTAAATAAAAATAAAAATAAAATAAAAATTGAAAAACCCTATATAACATTTAAAATATTTTTAAATATTCTGCAATTTTTCCGAATTGTTATATTTCATGTATTTGTATTTTAAAAATCAAATCATTAGAGTATTTGTACATGTAAATAATAATAAGATGATTTAAAATACAAAATTATATTTTATATTTTAAAATTATATTAAAGGCAAAGTACGTGAATAATTTACATAACTATCTAACCAAAGCTATTCAGTTTTCACTCCAGATTTTATTCTTAAATCGACCAGAATACATTTAACCTAACCAATTTACAGTACTACACTTTTAGCCTCTATTTTCAAGAATTTATGAAATTCTTCACTTTGCAGTAATTCATTTTTTACTTATTTGATAGTGAAATACTCAAGCCTCAATATATACAAAGGAACAAAGGAGATAAATTTAAATATAAATAAAATTTTCATAATTGTAATTTGCAATTTAAATAAAGTTGGAAACCATATAAATCTAAATTAGTAAAATACGTCTTTATATAATAGGTTTTATCTTCATTTTGTATGTTTCTTAAATTAAAATAAGTTTACTTTAACTTAACACAATTTGAGACATTTAAATAAAGTAATTTATTCATAATATGAATAAACAATATATTGTATTGTTTTAAAAATCATAGACATATCAATGAAATCAATTCAAGATTCATTTAGATGAGCTTTTAAATTTATTTTTTATTGGTATTTTAAATTTATATTATTTTATTTTTCATATTATATCATTTTTTATACAATAAGTATGAGTACAAAAAAATATTGAATAATGTAAAATACTTGTACAGCTGTGCATCAAAATACTTTTCTAATTTCAAACATAACTGCTCGTAAAAAAAATAATAAATATTATCATAATTTTCTTTCTGTGTCATGAACGCACTTTTGTGAAATGCAATCCTTGTGGAAGTGACTTAATAGCTAAATTGTTTTTAAACAATGATTTTCTACGTATCATGATAGTAGAGTGATAGTTTATAAACAGCTTACATTTTTAATTATTATAAAATCACCATGATTATATGTAATACGACCACATATATACATATTTAATTAAATAGCTGACTAATTATTGAAGTAACTGGACAGAATCAAATCATCAACTTTAGGGATTATTGTACTAAATAATACTTGTTTGTGTACTTTACTTACTTAATATAAAATATAATGTACATTATGTATATATACCCTATTCATAAATTTTGATTGGAAAAGGTAATTTCAGGAAATAAAGTATTTAATTAATTTTAAATTTAGTTTTAATAAATAAATAGATTATTTATTTATTTCAATATAGAAACTATTTATTCATATATTAATTTACGAGTATTAATTAATTACTAATTTTTGTTTAATTTTATTACATTATTATTTAGTTTTAACGTTTTTGTTTTATATGTATTAGAAAAATTACCATACTTTTGGTTGGTTTGGACAACGCTGGAAAAACGTGTACAGTTAAAAGTATTATGAAAGGTAAAATTGTAATGATATTAAATTTTTAATTTTTGGTATTAATAAATTAAAAATGTTTTATTTTAGAAAAACAGAAAAATGTTCTTCCGACTGTTGGATTTTCGTCTTCCAAATTTAACTATCACGACAATGCAATTACTATTTACGATTTAGGTGGACACAAACAGATTAGGGATATATGGAAACAATACTTCGTTGATGTAATATTATTTCTAAAAGCTAAACATACCAATATAATAATATGAATAGTGTTTTAGGTACATGGTGTAATGTTTGTGGTGGATTCAACAGATCGTAAGCGGCTAGATGAATGCAAAGAGGTATTCCTAAATTTACTTGGACACGAAAATATTGCTGGAAAACCTGTGTTATTGTAATATTTCATAATACTGAATTTTCAATGCCTAATAATTGAATTTTACTAGATTGGCTAATAAGCAAGATAAACCAGGTGCACTTGATGAATTGGATATTGTAGATCGACTAAATGTGGAAGCTGTAGTTAATACAAACAAGTGCCCTACCCTTGTGGAAACATGTACTGCTCTCCACATGGCACCTATTAGTTATTGTAGTTCTGCATTTATTGATCCAAGTATTGATAACGGATTTAGGTAAGATAATTTTTTATTAAACTTTTATTTGAAATGTACAACTCTTGAATAATTATTACTCATAAGTAGACCCCAGTGGGTGTTAATGTCCTCAGAAATGAGAAATAATTATGTTATATAAATAAATTAAAAATGTCTTTAAATTACAAAAATTCCTAGAGATTATCTGCAATACTTTGCCACTCATTAAGCCTAAGTCTTCAGTACTCATTAATAAATTAAATAAATTATAAATAAAAATTAATAAATTAACAATAATACTATAATCTCAACAATTGATTATTATATTATATAAATACAATATATATATATATATATATATAAATCAGCATTTTATAAAAATTATTCAATACAGAATATAAAATAAAGTAAAAGGTGTGCGTTAAAATGTTTAATGATCTTAAAATTTATCTTTAGTTTTTTTTCAAACACAGAATTTAATTTTAAAAGAATGTTACGATTATTATAAACGTCATCTATAATATAATATATGGATATTTATGAAACTATATATCTTATTTAAATATAATTATAATATTTTATATTGAAATTTACTCCGCATACCAGTAAATACAACATAACTTTGTTTGGCAGTTGGTTAGTGTCACATATTGTGAAGTTATACGATACACTCAACCGTCGTGTTATGGAAGACATGGCTCGGTACAAAGCAGATGTAGACAGAAAAATGGAAGAGTGGAAAAAAAATCAGCAGGCTTCAAACGATTCATATTTATTATCTTTTAACGCTCCACACCGAAGGTCTACTAAACGCAATCCATTCAGACGTATTAACAAAGTCATAGTGAGATTTTATTTACGTTATTTTTATAAAAAAATATGAAGTATTTTCATGAAAATCTATCGAATTGTTTAAAGATTTATATGATGTTAAATCATATATGTAAGTAAATGTTAAACAATTACAATTAATGGTAATTTTTTGTTGAATATAATATACTTTTTAAAGTGGGAATAATAAAATAATAACATCAAATACATCAAATTATACTTTAATAATTTCGGTACGATTATACTTTAAAAATATTTTAATTCTTGAAATAATTAATGAAATACATTTAAATTATTAAAACTATAAGTTATTGTATTTACAATTTATTTATAATTTAAACCCATTTATTAATATCAAACAAAAAATTAAATATAATTTTTGAAATGTTTTAGATGTTAAAATTTTTTAAGAGGAAAAAATATATGAATATTTTTCTGTAAAAATTTTTCCAATTGTTTCATGATAAATTATTTTTAATTTTCTCTTTTAGTACAATTTACATAGTCAACGTGTTAAAAAAACTATATTTTGATTTTAAAATGCTTTAGGATGTAGATACAAGTATTTAATTATTAATTAATTTCTTTGTCAGAAGATTTAATTTTGTACACGATTTCAATTTATCTGATCCGCAATTTACAGTTAATTTATTAATTTATTTTGACCAGATAAATATCTAAAGTTTTCTTTTAAATACTCATATATAAAGTAATAGAGAAACGTTACGTAATTAAATTTAATAATGAAACGCATATAATATTATCAATTTGATAGTGTGTACAATCAATTATGAAACAAACTAAAGAATACTTGTAATTATAGGCGCTTACAAAATATATTTTATTTTTAAGTTTTATTATATATAGAAAACTATAAGTTATTATAATATAAGTGGTTCACATTTACAATTTTTCATCAAAAAATGTCATGCTTAGCAATAAAATCAATGGTTAAAAGTATGGAATAAAAATCTCATGACATAAATGAAGTTGAATAATGTGTTTCTATTACAATTAGAATTTAAGCGCTTCGAAACTAGAAATTAGACCAATGATTTTCACCGGGTTTTAAAAAATTTTTAAATTTACGTCTTCAGGATAGTTTTGAATCAAAAGCATCAAACCCAACTACTGAAATGGGAAGTACATCATACATTATACCGCTTAGAAGTGAGTCCGAAGAGGAGGATGATACAGAGCCTGAACCACTGCCTGCACCACCTGTATTTAGAAATAAAGTTACTCCGATTCTGGAGGTATCCCCAACAAAAGAGCAAACAGAACCAATGCGATTGGTTCAATCACGATCGCCACTTTTCAGAGCCAAGTCCAAAGAATATGACAGGAGTTTGTCTGACACCGAAAACCCCATTGTTCTTTCCACTACTGCGATGGAATCAACTGAAACTTTTATTCATAATGAATCGGGCACAGCAAAAATAAAACGGTCTCTTTTTAGTAATAAGTCAAATTCGGCGAGTGTTAGTGGTAGTGGTGAAAGGCGACCAGTAAAACCTAATCGATCAATTAGCGCGAAGTCATTGAAAAGAAGTTGGTACCCAAAATTGTCATAAATAAGTCATATAATTAATTAATTTCAATTTTATTTTATATTTTTTAGGCGTTGCATCCTCCCATGATTCGGTGGATGAGAAAAAAAACCAAGAGCAATCGAAAAAGTCACATCCAAATGATGAAAACGATGTGGTGGTCCAACAACCGGATACTTTAAGTAGTCCAGAAATTATAAGCCATATGTGATTATTAATAAAAACAAAAATATTTTCTACGAGCCGCTATAAATAAATTGCTATATGAGTATACTTTTAGTAAATCATTATTATATAATACGTTTGTTTGGAATATAACTGTTGTCAATTTTCAAGCAAATTTGAAATGACGAACCATCGTTAAACTGGTATACCATTACATATGAGACAGCATTTTAAATAAAAAGTGAAAACAATAAGAATAGAGTATAAATTGTTCAGAAAATAATCAAAAACCAAATGATTTCAAATATTTGTGTTGTATTTGTGTATTTATTAATTATGTTAATAAATAATGTGATTTTATTTGCTCCATTAATATTACTAAGTATTAATTTAAATATTTTAAATAATAAATTATTTTAAAATTGTTATTTAAAATATAAGTTTTAAAATATAAAATACTTAAATTATTTGCTATATTCAATAAAATAATTCATGGTATGCCTAAAAACTTATTTTGACCATTCGAGCAAACTTGATGAAAACTTGGTGATTTACAATTTAAATTATAATTATCTATTAATAAACTATAGATAAAAATAACGATATTATAATAAATTCTTATGATCTTTTAATTCAAATTTATATTAATAATTTATTTTTAACATAACAGAGTATATAGTAGAAGTCATTCAAGTAATAGAAAGATTTTTATAATTTAAAATCTTTATAGAAATTGTTTAACTAATTATAGTCTTGGTAATATTATATTCATAAATATTATTAATTATAAATAAAATTATCAATGTTTTAAATGCTACTATGTTATATTTTAGTTTTGGAAAAAAAATTGGAATGCATTGCTTTTACGTCAATGTTCTTTGTAGTTATTAAATACATCGTACGTGGTATGGGACTACATTTTTTGAGTAAAAAAAATGTTCTTATGTAGCCTTATCAATCGTTTGAAGATTTTAAATAAATGGTATGAAAGATGCTTTAGATAGTTTATTTTCAAATTATTATAAAATACCGAAAATGGTAAAAAAATTTACCCAACATTTTCGAAAAACTCGGTGAATTAAGATAGGATTTTTCGATTCTGCTAGTGCGACTTAGTATAGCGAATGAGAATCAGTCCAGCTACATTTTATTGAAAAACACATGGAAAATCAGACACGCATTATAGGGGGCGGCAGGGTGTGTAATGGCACCGTTACCTTAATGGCGTTAATAATTGGCCCTCCATTAATGCTCCTATGCGCTGTTATAGTCAATTAAATACAAATTAAATGTTTCAGCATGTGATATACTATAAATATATTTTTATATATATTATAAATTCATACGTGTATTTAATTTTTTACAAACTTTTCTATGAAATATATCTTGATTACGGGGAATGAAGTGCGTTTTGTTCAAATAATAATTCGTGTCAGCTTTCTTTTGACAAGGCAGGTGGTGTTACTATTTAGAAGAAACAGAAAAATGTGATAATACATACCTAGGTACAATGTATAATAAATAAAACATGATGATTTGGGGTATTTAATATAATATTTTTATATACTGCATATTATCATAATTTACTGATCCTAAGATCGTTACGTTATTTACAACGTGAAGCATTTTGATACTATAGCTGTGATTAATATTATATTTTTACTAATAATCAGTGCTCTCATACCATAACATCAATATATCAATCAGGAGCGGATCCAGAGTCGGGGAACTGTGGGTCAAGCCATTTCAAGAGGCCATTTATTAGGGATGAAATTGAATTAGAAATGAATACCTTGTAAAAAAAAAAAACAATATGTTCATAAAAGTGTATAAGTATATTTATATTACATTTTAAAATTAGTGATACCGCCGATAATGACATATTTTACGATTAATAAATATAATTTAATTTTATCAGCACAACAAACGTACGGAATAAAATATGATTTACTTAACTTTCTACTAAAACAATATAATTGAAAATATAAATTATGAATTGAAAAATTTAAAATTTTGAATATACTGGCATTCATTTTTCAAGTAACTCCGATGGGCCAACTGTCCAAGAGTCCAAATCAAGGTCTAAAAAGAGAAAAAAATTTCCAAGAGGCCAATTTTGTTAATAAATATTAACTGTGGGTCAGCTGACCCCTTGAACCCCCCCTAGATCCACCCCTGATATTAATACATCGTTTTGTAAGAATAGCAGAGTTTAGTTTTGAAAATAAAGTGAATTCTTTCATACCAAATTTGTCTTTTTTAAACAATATTAGTGTAATGGTTTCAATTAATTGTTACAGTTGCTTATAGATTCTTATGCATTGAATTGTTAGTTATTTGTTAAGTACAATGTAATTTTAATTTAGGGTAATAATAAAAAAGACGAAGATATTTACATATATACATTTTTTTAAAATGGCCTAGTTAAATGTTAAAATTAGTCTGCTTAAAATCTTGCACACCCTGAAAAAAAATTGAAATGACACCTATGTGAAAAATCAAATTAAATTTATTACATTTAATTATTAAAGAAAATGATAAAATATGAATTGATGGTCGTTGAATATTGTTTTAATTGACAATAAATTATTGTTACATAATAATGTCAATACAATATTTTATTTTAAAAGGTTAAAACTTAAAACTTCTAACACTCCTTATTAAAGTATACGTTTTAGTATATTATAACAGAAGGGCTAGGCCACCATTTAGCAACCACTTACCCGTAAATATATTGTTAATATACTTTGAAATTATGCAGCCTCATATTTTTTATTAGGTTAACAAGAAACAACGATAAAATCATAATAAGATTATTTTTATTATGTCTTTGTGCATATGATATTTCACTTTAACCATATAATTCAATAAAGTAAGGTACCCTAACACAATATCTTATGATAATAGCATTATTATCTCATTGTATGTATGGTATATGAAAACAGGTTTCACTGTCCAGTTTTATACTTAAGTACATATAGTAAATACATCGATAAAAAATAAGAAGCGATTTAGTATACTTCATATATTTTTAATTATTATCGATAAAGAACCGATAAAACAGCAAAAAGAGAGTATCTCAATAAATCCGAATACATAAACCATAATACAAATATAACAACATATCATTATTATTTTTAAAGTATACGATATTATTAAAGTATTTAAATATAGCCAATTCTTATTGTTCGCTGATAATATAATATAAAACATAAAACAAGATCTTGATCGATTTTTACTATGGAGCTTAAATAATTACATTTAAATATGAGTAAATGTATGCAAATATAATTTCATCGCAAATACTCAATCACATTTTACAATTATAACCTATCCTGCTCCAAAATATATAAATAATATAATATAAATATATAAAATGAAACTCCACCTATATGAATATAATGTGCTTAAAAATTTTATATTTCTCTTTAGTACGCCCTTGGAGTTCTTGGAGTTCGGTTCGTTAATTTGAAACCCTCGCCAAACAGGCTTGATTGATAAAATTGATAAAATACAAAAAAATTTCATTAGTATCATTGCCTTTAAATCAAATTGTTATTTGCTCATTAGTTAAATACCATATATTTATACTGCTTACTTATGTTATACATATATATTGTACTCGTTTGCCATAGGGGCGTTATTATTATAAAATAAATAAATTAAATAAGCTATTTAGGTTAATGCCAAAATTAGTAACTATACTGATATTCTCACCAACGCGATGTCATTTAGTGTAGTGAAATGGAAAATGTATATCATGTAATATTAAAATTTGAGAAATAAAAGTATAAATAATTAAAACTGAGTAATAAATATTTAAATATGTTAATATGCGAACATTATATAATTAAAAATAATTTAAAATTATTAAAAATAAAAGACATTATTAATCGACAATTCAATTAACAGTCCTTGATCTAATCATAGTATATCAAGACAAATCTAATGAAATTTATTATTCTCAAATGTCTGAAGTATAAGAGTCAATGTGGAAGCTACTATACTACTCATAATTTTATAGTTGCAGGAATACTAACTTGACATTTAACAGTTTATAAATTCATTTATTAGAAAAAATGCTACATGAACAAATGGATTTGTTTAAAGCATATTTATTTGAAGCATACGTTAAAGTATGTTATTTTTTATTTATATATTTCAATAAATAATAAATAGTTTTAAATTTAAATAATAAATAAATAATTTAGAAAATTACCTAAGTCTATTTAAGCATTTAAAAAATAAGTTTTTAATTTATTTAATGACTGATTGACGACATCGAAAACAATTGATAACTATAATGGTTTTCAAATATATTGCTTACAATCACTGGATATTATACATAACGCCTGAATTAATACTATTTTTAATAACACAATGTATTCATATGAATAAAAACCAATAATAATAATAGCAACCTAGACCGTTGGCAAAAGGAAAAACAATAGTGAAAAAATGTAATGTGACGGCGAACGTGAAAGAATGTGCATTATAATATTATTATTTTAATATGTATATATATATATATGAACAAGTCTTTTTTATGTACTATACTTTTTTGACAACACTATTGAACATTTTCTTGATTTTTTTTTCACAGAGTCGTTCCAAATACTCCCCTGAGTGTCCTTACGTAACATTTTTTTCAATTTTTATTCATAAGGGTTTGTACTTGGATACACCAAATTTCTGACGACAGCACGGATAATGTTCTCAAAATGTATTCTCAAAGAAGAATCAAATACTCTCTCTCCTCTCCCTGTATTCTTGGATTGCTTTGGATGGGAAAGAGGGATGAATTACAGTACGATACGTGCATTTTAAACGTTCGTACTATTTTACGGAGAATAAAACCGATACTCCCATCTTGATTATTCATCACGACCTTTTTCCTTCGAGTTTATCCAATTTTAGAACGTAATGTTTTATAATTTTTACAGTACGCTCTTGGATAGTACAGCCGAACCACTGAAATCCATTCAAACGGATGAACGGATTGCACCAAATATTGATATGGTATCGATATACACACCTACTTATTCTATCCGCTCATTACAACCGGTCGAATTTCGAATACGTTTATGAAAATAATATACCTATGAGCCTTGGAAAAAATCGGGTAATACTCGGCTAATATATGCGGTGTAATGCGGCAGCGGTGGTGGCCTCCGGGCTGCTGTTGCCACCGCCACCGCCAAAGTTTTGCTCGCGATCGATTTTCAACACCCGCGCGGCGCAGACTTGGTCGTACTGCAGTAGTGTAACGAATGCGAGTACGTGCACGAGGTCC